GCTGTAGTAGTAGTAGTAGTAGTAGTAGGAGGAGGAGGAGGAGGAGGAGGAGAAGGAGGAGGAGGACGAGGAGGAGGAGGAGGAGGACGGGAGGGTGTAGGGGGGAGGGGGGATAGAGCAGGGGCAGAATGGGGAGCGAGGGAGGGGGGGGATGATCAGGAGGAGGAAGAGGAGGAGTAGGAGGAGGAGGAGGACGAGGAGGAGGAGGAGGAGGTGCAGCAGGAACAGCAACCGGTGGAGTGGTATTCGGCTGCCCTGCGGACAGTCCCGCCACCGCGCCAGCGCGGCATTCTGTGTTGCGACGCTTCGAGCACCGCCGCGAGGGCGTGGCAAGCGGTTTTCATGTTCAGCCTTCTCAGAAGGAGGAATGCCTTCTCAGAAGGCTCGGACGTCCCCCGGCCGCCTGAGACGTTTTCCAAGTCTTCCTCGAAGACACGACGACTTGTCGGAAGGCGCGAGGGCTTCTGAGAAGTCCCGGCGCCCTCTGAGAAGGCCTTCTCCCTCTCACTTCCCCCCCTCGCTCGCCGCCGAATGACGGGCCCTTGAGGCCGACGTCCTGGAAATCACCCGGATTGACCTACTCATGTAGTCGGAGGTGTGGCTGCCGCGCATGCTCACGACCCCGTCGCACTGGGAAGAATTCTTGTCTGTCCCTCTACAGGGGGAGTCTTCAAAAATAGTCAAAGAATAGTTTGGGGACAATTTTGGGACTATTTTTGAATATCCGTAAGGGCTTCGCCCCCTGCCGCCGGCCCCCTCTCTCGGAGAATGGGACATGGAAGAGCTAAGTCATGAGGCCTTGGCGCTGTCGTGAAGCAGTATCGAAACTTCATGCGAAGCCGGTTCGCAATCAGCAAAACCAACTGATCACAAGAGGGGTTACCACACCTGGCGATTGGTAAGACGTGTATGGTTTACGGGCTTGGTTACCACACCTTGCGATTAAAGTTCCGAGGGAGTTCTCGCAGTTTGGGTTACCACGCCTTGCGATGGACGTGCGTGAAGGGTGGCACCGAATTTCAGAAATGTGGCAAATCCCCTATGTTTTTGGACCCTGACCCCGCGGATCTGCGTAGGGGTGGCACCGAATTTCAGAAATGTGGCAAATCCCTTGTGTTTTTGGACCCTGACCCCGCAGATCTGCGTGAGGGGTGGCACCGAATTTCAGAAATGTGGCAAATCCCTTGTGTTTTTGGACCCTGACCCCGCGGATCTGCGTGAGGGGTGGCACCGAATTTCAGAAATGTGGCAAATCCCTGTGTTTTTGGACCCTGACCCCGCGGATCTGCGTGAGGGGTGGCACCGAATTTCAGAAATGTGGCAAATCCCCTGTGTTTTTGGACCCTGACCCCGCGGATCTGCGTGAGGGGTGGCACCGAATTTCAGAAATGTGGCAAATCCCTTGTGTTTTTGGACCCTGACCCCGCGGATCTGGGTGAGGGGTGTCGATTTCGAGCCCCCCCAGCAATTCAGACAACGCGCCCAGGGGTGCTAAAAAGCCGGTTTGGGCCTCCCCCCCCCTCGCGCGGTCAATCAACTAGTTACAGTAACCAGCAATAAGTCATTTAGTTATAGTAACCAGCAAGAAGCAGAACTGTAACACTGGAAACTAAAGGCTACAACTGGCACAGGAAACTGCGAACCTCGCGCCTACAGCCTGGTGGCCCCACAAGGGGGCCGGCGGATTTGTGGAGTGTTGTTGGAGTATTTTTTTGGTTTGCCGCCAAAATCCGCCTGTACGGGGACATGCCCGACCTGACATTGGGAGGGGCTCGATGTGTATACTCCACGTCGTCTTGTTGGACGCAGCGCCCCGCAATTGCGGAGCAAGGCAGGAGGACGGGCGTGAGGTGGGTCGCGGCTGTGGGTCGCGTGTGGGTCGCGGGGTGAGTCGTTGGGTGGGTCACTGCTGGGTCGCGGGGGGGTCGTTGGGGGGACGACGACAACAGCCACAATGATTATACTATTGTGCTCAATGATTCGATATGCCACATGTTTTCATCATGCATCGGGGGTCCGACACTCCCTCACCCGATCTCCCGCCCGAAAATGTGTTACCGACACCTCGTGCGAGGCACTTTTCCATGCTCAGTCCAAATGCTTGGGGCCTTCTTGAAGGCAACAGCGGCGACACAAACAGCAACAGCCAATCAGAATCCGGGCCACGGAATCCCACTCCGCCCACGCACCCAGGGATGGTGTAGGAACGTTCGGCCCCCCTACTCTGACCGATTCCGCTGTTCGTCCTGGAGGGCCCTCGTCGCCACGGCTGGATGCTCATCACGGTTCCGATCGGACCGTTCCCTGGGAGAGGTCCGGGGAGCAGCGTCATCCGTGCCTTCTCGCCCCTCGGGCGCCGCGGCGGATACAAACGAGGAGGTGATTCCCAACCATCCTGTGGTGTTGGGGCCCCGCTTTGAAGAGAGGCCCCTGGGAACTCTGCACCCGTGCCTCCTCGGTCCGTCCTTGACCGCTTTCGATGGCCAGCCCGCTCGAAAAGTGTCAGCATGGCCCTCGTAGGGGCTCGCATCCTGATTTCCAGTCTTGACTGCACAGTCATCCCGCACAGCAAGGATGGGCAACCTTCCCGAGGATACCCTTGCATCCTTGTCTCCTCGTCCCTCCTTGGCCACTTTCGTTTGCGGCGCTCCGCTCGAGAAACTTCGAAGTGGGCGTCCAAGGCCCTTGCATCCTTATCCCGCATCCTTACTAGACGGGTTGACTGTGCAGTCGGGGGCCATGCCCAGAAACACCTTGCTTGCCTCCGGGGTGCCCTGGGTTTCTTGCGTTGCGATGGTTTGGCTGCAGAAGGCGTGACGTCCCCCAAAAAAAGTTCGGACGTCCTGTGGTCTCAGGCTTGGGCTTCGTGTAGAAGGCTGCTTGTGGACTGGCCTCCACTGTACTCTGACATCGAGCCCCTCCGACGCACCGCGGCCGCGGGCCGGCAGCCCCCGCGCGCTCGCCCCACTGCAGGCAGGCAGGCAGGCATCACCGAACGCGTCCCACTACTTGCAAAGTGCCTGCTCGCAAGTGTCCGAACAGCATATATGTTTCCCTCGCGGATCCTGGCCATTTGCGAGTAGCTACTTTGCAAGTACGGCAGGTTCGTGCGGCGTTGGCGCGCCGGCGACGCCGACGAATGCGTTCCACGTTGGATTCCACGACGCGGCGGCCCCGATGGACACGGTGACGCTACTAGACCCGACGTGATGCAACCTTGAACGATGGGAGTCGCGATCGATTCAAGGCTGAACGATCGACGCGGTGCCAAAAAAACCTTTGCGCGCGCCCCGACGCCGCACGAACCTACCGTACAGTGGAGGCCAGACCACAAGACACCTTCCGCAAGAACCCGACCCTGAGTCACCAGGAGGTCCACTGACTTTGTGGTGTGGGCAAGCTCCGCCTTCCATCGCGAAGCCATCTAACCTTCGCGCGCCGACGCCGCGCGCGCGAACCTGCCGCAGTGGAAGGCGCCTGCCTACGGCAGGCAGCCGCCCCGCTCGGCGCGCCGACCCCGCGGCTCTGTCGGAGAGCGCGGCCCGCCCGCGGCGCGGCCCGCCGGGCTTCCCGCGCGCGCATGGCGGGCGGCCGCCACGGCCCCGGCCGGCCCCGCAGCGCAGGCAGCGCAGGCCACGGCTCAGAGGAGCGTTAAGTCGGGCGTGTCCCTTCACAGGAGGAATATCCGGGAGCGAGTTGTTGTTTGAATAGGTTTCGACGATGTTGGAGTGCTTGGTTGGGCTATGGTTGGTAATTGTGCTTCAAAATCTGCCTGTAGGGGGACATGCCTGACCTGAGAGGAGTGGGAGGGAGCTGGAGGGTTTCTCCGAAGGGCTTGGGCGACCCGTCCTCCTGCTCCACCTCCTCCTCCTCCTCCTCCTCCTCCTCCTCCTCCTCCTCCTCCTCCCTCCTCCCTCCTCCCTCCTCCCTCCTCCCTCCTCCTCCTCCACCTCCTCCTCCTCGGATTTCCTACGACCACAGGTGAAACCGTGCAAGTGAGAGGGAGCTGGAGTCGAAGAAGGAAAAACGCCATAGCCATAGAAGGCGTTTTTGTTGTTCTATGGAGGGAGGAGCCGGGCTCGGCATTGCTCAGACGGGGGCTTTTGGTCGGCGAGGGCCAGCGGGGAGCATGTGGAAGCAGCGTGCGAGAAGAACCCGCGCGACGCCTGAATATGTTCGGCGAGTGGACGTCCGAGCGATGGCAAGTTGGGGGAGGAGGTGGTGGTGGTGAACGGTGGCATGAACGTCAAGTTCTGCTCACATGCTGGAGGGGGGGAGGAAGGAGGAGGGAGCTGGGAGCAGGAGCTGGAGGGAAGGGCCGGAGGGAGTAGGAGTGGGGAGCTACAGAGGACCTGCGGGTTAAGCCCCGCTTCACGGCGGGGCGCGGTACAGCACGACCGAGCGCTGCGGACCGACTTCCAGCCCCAGCTCTCCGGACCCAGCAGGAACAATGGCAGGCCCCCGCGGCGTGGCCCTCTGCGCCCCGCTGGCCCGCCCCGGGCCCCAGAAGTCTTGGGCCCCCGCCTTACGTCGGGCGTGCCCCTCTACAGGAGGAATTCTCAAGAATAGTCAAAATAGCCTGGGGACGATTTTTCTATGATTTCTGGAATATTGTGGAGTATGTTTTTGTGTTGTTTTCCATTTCTCTTTCAAAATCTGCCTGTAGGACGACATGGTGATCGTTTTTGTTATTCATTGTTTTGCCGATCGGCGCGGGCTCCAACCCACCACCCCCTCCCCCCCTATGGAGTGAGTCTCGGTTTTTTTCATCGCCTGTTTCGAGCGGGTGGAGTCTCCCCCAGAGCTCGCACTCTTGCAAACAGTTTCACCAAGCAGAGGTCTGGAGCCAGGCACCCCCTCCCCCCCCTTGCCGCCCAAAGTCAAAACGCCGAATAAAAAACGCTCACATGCCCGACCTGACCCCAGCCACCCACCACCTCCCAGCCACCCAGCTGGGAGGAGCAGGAGGGGGAGGGGGGCAGAGGAGGGCGAGCGCTCAGACCGCGACGAGTTCTGAGGGCGGCGCTCCAGCCTCCAGGGGGGGGGGGTGCTCTCTGGCAGCTATCGCTTCGTCGAGGGCGTTCCGTGGGTGCCCCGATCTCGGCCGCGCGCAGAGGCGGGTAGGGTTAAGTAGGGCGTGTCCCTCTACAGGAGCAATCTTCAAACATAGTTTTAAAATCGTCTGGGGGCGATGTTTCTCTCAATTTTGGACTATGTTTCAGCATGTTTGGACAATGCTATATTTTTCGCGCAAAATCCGCCTGTAGGGGAACATGCTCGACCTGAGGGTGGGGGGAGGGGGGAAGGCTTCTTAGAAGCACCCCTGCCTCTCAGAGGGCGCGGGCCTTCTCTAGGGGGCTGCAAGGCCAGCGCCTTCTGAGAAGCAGCCTCCTTCTAAGAAGATCTTCCCCCTCCACCCCCCCCCCCTTACTACCCCCTCGTGATCGCCCCGGAGCGCCGCCAGCGATCGCCCCAGGCGGCCGCCGGAGGCCCGAGGCACGAGGCCCGAGAGCCAGGCGGACGGCGCGCACCCGAGGAGGGCGGGCCGAGGCACCGCGAGCTGGCTCTCGCGGGGCCCCCCGTCGCCTCAGGGCCGGGCGCAGCCCAGAAGTCTGGTGCGTCTTCCTGGCGATCGCAAGCATGGATGCAGGGGGCGTGGATCAGCGACGGGTCCCGCTTCTTCCCATGGGGAATCGCGGATTGCCGCCGCCGAGCGAGGCGGCACGGGCGGCATTTTGGGGGGGGGAATTGCCTCCCTGGATCCATGGACTTAGCGACCGCGCGCCAAGCCCATGGATCGCTGATCCATGTTGGCGCGCCCCCGAGTTGGGGCCCAGGGAGGGGACCAGCGACCGGTTTGGCCGTGCCGCTGCCTCGACGCATCCCTGCTCCGAGCTGTCTTTCCGTGATTTTCGCATGTTTGGGCCTCTTGGGAGGCCACGGCTGAATCTTTGCCTCAAGAATCCTGTCGGGATGCACCCCAGGAAAAGTCTGGGGAGTAGCGGTATCTGTGCCCCTCCGAAGAAGAAGACACGTAAACATACAATAATAATAATAATGATAATAATAACAAGAAGAAACATACTAAGAGTATGCGAATACGAATCACAGTGAGAGTGAGACATAATAATGGTAATATCACGAATACATCGGCCCAATGAAAGTTCCTGGAATTTTCATCACGACGCTGGCCGGCGGAAGTCGACGGAAGTAAAACGAGGCGGAAGACGGGGGAAGGCCGCCGGAAGGCTTGCCAGTGTCAGCGGAAGTAAACGACGCCCCTGCCGAACCCCCTACCCCCGTAGAAGCCTAGCAATGTTGTCTTCCTCCGTGGGCCGGGCGGGATCCCGCCTGGCTTATTCCGCTTTAATATTATAAGTTTAGTTCAGGGCGATCAAAATCCCACCAATGAAAAATGGGGTAGACCAAAATCCCGGGCCGTCCACGCATCCCACCATGCTGGGATCGGCTCGAAGCAAGATGGGGCTCATAAGTTGCAGTATTATTGCCGTGTTGGGGTCGTCTTGAGGTCATCTTGAGATCATATCCCGGTCATGTTTGGATCACGCAACCATCGCGTGGTCATTATGAGGCCACCCTGGGTGCGCTTGGATCCATCTTGCTGCCATCGGGCCATCTCGGCGTCACGCGTTGCTCATGTGTTTCGTCATCTGCGAGTCGGCCTGAGACGGTCCAGAATCCATGGCGGGATCGCGTTGGGGTGGCATCATCCTGGGTCCACTGGGCGTTATTGTCCGTGGCCTGAGGCATTCCTGGAACCATGCTGTGGCCATGGGACGTCTTGGGATCGCGTGCGTGCGAACGCTGAGCTCGCGCGCGCGACTTTTCATCTTGCCGACGGGTTTACATACATATTATTCCTCTTGCGAGTTTCCAAGGAAACTCTCGTTGGGGCCAAGTAGTAGCAACACTAGTACTACTAATATTAATGATACGATTCGCAACCATACTACTACTACTAATCTTAATGGCACCGAAACGAATATCAATAGTGCTAGGATTATGATGCACACACAGAAGTAAGATTACAAATCGTACATAACAGAAGCGTAATACAACTAGCACGTCTGAGAAGATGAAGGGGAAGACAGAGACGCACGTGCGTAAGCATGAATCATCTGAGCTCTTCGCGGATGTCTTGGGCCTTCGTTGGGCCCCCAGCTGGCGGGCGCCCCGCCGCGCGCCCCCGCCGCGCGGCCTCCTCTGCGGCTCGGCGGATACAGTCGAGGAGGTGTTTCCCAACCATCCTCGGGTGTTGGGCCCTCGTTTCGAAGAGGCAGCGCCCCTCCAGTCGAAACCGATGGTCTGCACGGGCAGTCTTTCCAGGGGCAACCTCGGCACCTGTGCCTCCTCGGTCCGTCATTGAGCCCTCGCGATGGCCAGCCCCGCTCAAAAAGTGTCGGCATGGCCCTCCAGGGGGCTGGCATCCTGGAGTGGCGGTCTCGGTTTATGATGTTCCAACTGACTCTAGCTTGGTTCACCACAAAAAGAACTGCAAGCACCAATGAAGGACCGAAGCTCGAGAGTTTTCACGTGTCGGGCCCTGGGAAACACTCGCTCGACACTGTTTTGACACCGTTTCGACACTTTTCCGGGCTCTCGAAATTAGTTCTGGGATGTGGCCGCTGAGTACGACGGGAGCAACAGAAGTCTCGGTGTCGATTGGCTTCCCTTGGCTGCGAGGGCGGCGGCGGCGGATGGCGGTGGCGATAGGGGGGTGCAGAGCGAGCGGCGGCCGAGCGGCGGCGAGGCCGGAGCACGGGCACGTCCGCCACGCTGGGCCTCAACCCGTTCGCGGCAGGCAATGCTGAGTTCTTGCAGAAGGAGTCGCTACGTGAGGGCAGCGAAGTCTTTGCTTAAGTCGGGCCTGTCCCTCTACAGGGGGAATATCCAAAGATAGTCAAAAGAAGTAGTCTGGGGACGATGTTTTTTTTTTTTATTAAATTTGGCGTATTTTCGGGGTATGCTTTATTTCTCGTCCAAAATCCGCCTCTACGGGGACATGCCCGACTTCAGTCTATGCATACCCACCGCCCCAGGCCTAGCCCATGCTGGGCCCAGGAGCGGCGTATGTGCATCCCCAGCCAGGCCAGGACGGCGTGTGCACCGTGGCACCGCCCCATGGGCCCAGGATTGGCCAGGCCTGGGGCAGTGGACATGTATAGTTTCGTGCCCGAGAAGCCACAACACGCCAGGGCACCCCAATCCAACCCGACGGCCCCGAGTTACCCCCCATTCCAAGTGGACGCGGGAGGTCGCCGGGAGACATGCCAGAAAACACGTGTGGAGCGCGTCCCCCCCCCCAAAAGCCTTGAAATGTGGGTCTTGGCGTTCGGGTGGGGTGGTCTGGCAGGCAGTCACTCGCCGCTTGGCCTTTGGGGGAGCAGGGCGGGCAGAGCATTGTGTAGATGCAGACGCATCCAAGGTGCACCTGGGCAAATCCTCCTCCCTCCTCCTCCTCCTCCTCCCTCCCTCCTCCTCCTCCTCCTCCGCCTCTTCCTCCTCCTCCTCCTCCCTCCTCCCTCCTCCCGCCCTCCTCCCTCCTCCCTCCTCCCTCCTCCCTCCTCCTCCCTCCTCCTCCTCCCTCCTCCCTCCTCCCTCCTCCCTCCTCCTTCTCCTCCTCCTCCTCCTCCTCCTCCTCCTCCTCCCTCCTCCTCCTCCTCCTCCTCCCCCCCTGTCCATGCGGATCCGGGCAGTCCCACAGATCTTCGCGGGCAACTTCGGGATAAGTCGTGGCCGCGCCTGCGCGAAATTCGCGGGGCGGCAGAAGTCGCTGAGCCCTCCGCGAAGGAGAGGCTGCGCTCCACCCTCGGCGGGCGCCTGCCGACGGGGCGCCCCGCCTCCGCGAGCGGCGCCGTGCGCTCCCGGAGGCGCGAGCACGAGGTGCTGCAGATGCTGGACAGGCGTTATGATGTCCCAACCTTCTTTTAGCCTGGGCCACCAGAAAGAATTTCGATCACCAAAGAAGAACCGAAACTCGAGGGTTTTCACGTGTCGGACCCTGGGAGACACTCGTTCGACACTGTTTCGAGACTGTTTCGACAGTTTTCCCGGTGCTCGAAATTATTTTTGGGATGTGGTCCTTAAGCACGATGGGAGCAACATCAGACAGGCTGGAGGAGAAGGACACCATGGAGCTCGGAGTCAGGCAGCTCCAGGAGCTCATGCGGTTGACTATAGGCAACCCTCGCTCAGCCCGAGGGACCTAGACCCCCCCAGATTCCAGGTTGCTCGAGGACGACGACGAGGTCGTTGACGACGACGACGATGACGAAGAGAACGACGAAGTCGACGACGACAACGACGACGAAGACAACGACGACGACGACCACGACCACGACGACTACGACGGGGAAGACGACGACCACTGTGTGGGCGCATAGCCCTCCTCAGGTGTGTGTGTGTGTGTGTGTGTGTGTGTACGAGTTTCATTGTGTGTCCTCAATGTTGTGGAGTGCCCCCTCCGCCAGAAATCTGCGAGGCCAACGGCGATTTCTGGTCGGGAGGGGGTGGTTTGGCAGATAGTAAGTCTAGGCCTCCCAGATGGGGTCAGAGTGGATGGGGCTAGCGGACCGCGCCGCATCGCCAATGCATCGGCGATGCGGCTCGATGCGGAGCCGATTTTCTCCAAGCCGACTTTCCCTTTGCATCGCCGATGTATCGCCGATGCATCGCTGATGTACCGCCGATGCATCGGAGATGCATCGGCGAGGCCCCGTCTGCCTTGACCCCACCTGGGAGGCCTCTGAGGAGGTCCTCGCGTCCCTCCAGACCCCGGACGAACTGACGTGGTTCCTGCGTGTCGCCTTCGACGAGCGCAAGCCGCTCGCGTCCCACAAGGGGCGCCGCGAGCAGCTGCTGCTCCTGCCGCGCGTGGTGGCGCACTTCGGCGCCGCGGCGGCGGACTCGGGCGCGCTGGAGGGCCGCGTGCTGCCCTGCCTGGCCCGGGCGCTGCGCGGCCCCGAGACCGAGGCCGTGGGCGAAGCACGCGTCCGCATCCGAGCGGCCCCCGCGGGCCAGGCCCCCGGGGCCGCGACCCCGCGGGCATACGCCGGGCGCGTGGGCTCGCGGGCGCCTCGCGCGGGGCGCACCCGTGCGACCGCGCATCCGCGGGGTCGCGCCCCAGAGCCCAGTTTCAGTATCGTTTAACCAACCCCCCATCCCAATCCCCATCCCCTTCGAGAGCCCCACCAAATTACCCCCCCCTGTTGGGGATACACCCCTCGAAACCCTAAGGGAACGGCCTACATCCCCATTTGGGCGGGTAAATCGCTTAAACGATACTCACAGACCGCGAGAGCGCGGGTGCGGAGGCGTGCGCCGCTCGCGGGGAGGAGGTCGTCACGCGCGCCGCCGTGGAGATCCTCGGGCACTGCGCACCCCTCTGCGGGGAGGAGGGCGCCGGGCTCGGCTTCGTGGGCGTGTGCTCCGCGCTGCTGCGGGAGCTGCTCGACCCGCTGGTGCTGGGCTCGGGGACCGACCTCGCCATGAAGCAGAGGTGCGTGCAGGTTCTCGGCGGCCTGACGCCCACCATTCGGAGCAGAGAAAACGGCAGGGCCAGAAATTCTCGGAGGTCCGCGCATATTTCTTGGAGAGAGATTGCAGTATCAAGGATGAAACATTCAATGAGTGTCGAATGGGATCGTGTAGGGTGGAGGACATCTGGTGTACCTCCACTGGTGGCGGTCGGCCCATGGTGCCCACCTTTGTTTCTTGAAAGCCTGATGGTGCCCTTTGATGCCCACCCCATTCCGTCCACATGGACCTCGCCCCCCCCCCCAGGCTGGGGGTTCGGGTGGACAGGCCGCCCCCCTGGCGTCGCACCTACTGCGCTGGGCCCCCACCACAGCGCCTCTGGCGCCGCCTCTGGTGCGCTCCGCGCGCCAGGGAGGGGGGTCCAGCGCAGAGCCAAGGACCCCGCGCGGAGCTCAGACAGTGAGAGGAGGAGGAGGAGGAGGAGGAGGAGGAGGAGGAGGAGGAGGAGCAGGAGGAGGAGAAGGAGGAGGAGGAGGAGCAGGAGCAGGAGCAGGAGCAGGAGCAGGAGCAGGAACAGGAGCAGGAGGAGGAGGAGGAGGAGGAGGAGGAGGAGGAGGAGGAGGAGGAGGAGGAGGAGGAGCAGGAGGATAATGTTTGCGCCGCTGTCTCTTCTCCTTGCCGTGCTGGCCGGCGTCGAGGCGCTGGGCTGCGAGGGCGAAGCGGCGGCACTGCTGGAGGGCCACGCGACCAGCCTCGTGCAGTGCCTTGCGGCGAACCCGACGCTGCAGGAGGGGCTGCTGCAGTGCATCGCGCAGGTGGCGGCGAGCAGCGCGCAGAGCGTCCTCTCCCATTCGAGGAAGAGCAAGCGGCATTCATCGGGTGTTGCCAGAAGTGCCCCTGGCGCAACGTGCCCCCAGGATGTCCCAGGGAGGTCCCCGCGGCATCCGGAGAGCACCCCATCACGAGGCCCTGAGGCCCCAAAAGGGCTCCAAAATTGACCAAAAAGCTGGGGGCACCTCGGGCCAGGGTCACCCATAGCACCCCCGAGTAAGCTTAGACGTTCGACGGTCCGCCCGGATCTCTTTGATTTTCGCAGGGCCTCCCCTGCGGCGCTTGGGGCGCCGACCCTGGCGCGCTCCGCGCCCCGGGGAGGGGGGCCCAATGTAGATCCAAGACATCCGCGCGGGCCATCGAAAACTTATGCTTTGCAGTTTTTCTTCCTCTACGCATGCGCACTTCCTGGTGGAGTTGTGCACGACGCACCTCACAGAGACCCCCTCCGCGACTCCCTCTTATGCGGTGCTGCAGCAGCCCTCAGGCATTCCGGAGGAGCCCCTGCGCCTGGAGCAGTTCCCGAAGCGCGGGACGCTCACGCGCGACCTGGCGCTGGTGTGCTGCCTGTGCCTGGCCCACCTCGGCAGCCGCGCCGCGCCGCTGATGCCGGCGGGTGAGGGCTTGGAGCGGCACCGCCCAGCCGTCGAGGCCGCCCTGGGCCGGGAGAACCTGAACCTCCAGAGGCTCACGAGGTCCAACGAGCCCCTGCGGCGCACCATCGCGCGCGCCTGGGAGGCCTGGCAGGACCTCGGGGAGGGCGCTGGCGGCGCCGCGGCCCCCCTGCGCCGGGACGACGGCGGGAGCCGCAGCCCCTCCTCGGGCCCCAAGCGGCTGGACCGCTCCTTCTCCGGCGCGGCGCGACTGCGCGGCATGGCGCTGCCGGCCCTGCGGGCCCCGGCGCCGGGCGGCGGGCCCCAGCGGCGGTGCCTGCACCCGCACAGCGGCCGCGGCAGGCCAACCTCGCACCGGGCGCGTGCGGGCGCCGAGCGGCGCCGCGCCTCGGGCCCCCCCGCGTGCCCCGCGACGGCCGCGCCGCCGCGAGCGCCGGCGCCCGCGGCGCCCCTCCCAGCGCCGGCGTGCCCGGCCGCGCAGCAGGAGGGGCACCTGGTCGGAGCGCCGGCTCCGGAGGACGGCGGCGGCGCGCCAGGGCCCGACCTGGCCAGGCTTCGGGCGGCGAGGTCTCTGAATCTCCACTGCTCCCTGGCCAGGCCCATCTCCAGAACCAAGGAGCTGAGTGTGCTGGCAGTCGGACCGAGGTATAGAAGGCTGAGGTGGAGGTCGGCTCGGGGAGGGTGCCCTCGTGTGTTCTTCGTGCTCGTGGGATGTTCTTGTGCGTCCTGGGCGGGGGGCACCCTCGAATGTACTGCAGGTTGGCCGGCGGAGGGTCTCATGTCTCTTGAAGTGTGTTCTTCGGTCCTGGGTCCGACCGTGTAACTATGCCCTCCTGGCCGAGCCAGGAGGGCGTGGCGTATGCACCGCCGCTGGGTTCAGGATGGTTCTGGACGGATAGCAGTGGATATCGCCCCATAAGGCTGTACGGCAGCGACGACGGCTCCAGGACCTGCTTGGCCGGGTGGTCCAGCAACGCGAAGGTCAGACGGGGGGGCGGGCCACATGACGGGGCACAGAAGGTTAAGTCGGTCCTGTCCCTCTACAGGGGAAACATCCAAAAATAGTCAAAACATAGTCATGGGATGTTTTGTTTTTAGTATTATTGATTATTTGGGTTTTTGGTATGCCAGAAAATCGCCCCAAATCCGCCTGTAGGGGGACATGACCTAACGGTAGCTCACCTTTGAGGGGGCCCCTCGTCGCCACGGCTGTACGCAGCTCGGGGAACTGGTGTTGGTGCGTTTGGACCCCGGAGCGGGTCTTGGGACTGAGTATGCTGGGATCGGCGCGGAGGTTGCTAGAGGAGATGCTCGGGGGGGGGGGCTATCAGTGGATACCGAGGTAGGCTATATCTGGCCGATCGAGACGATCGAGACGATCGAGATTCATGGGTACGATGCCCAACAGCAGTTCCTGTTTCCTGATCATTTTGAGCAGGACTCACTGCCCGCGCCGCCGCGGACGTTGTTCATTGAAGACAAAACAGCCACCTGCCGAACAGCGGCCGCTGTCGGTGCTGGACAACATCTGTTCTTGGGCATTGCACCCATTTTGTCCGTGCCCATTTCGGGCGTCCAACTCCATGTATAAGTAGGTCACAATCGCCCCAAGTGGCTTCAGGGTGGCTAGATCAATATGCTAAGCTTAAGCCGGGCACGTCCCTCTACAGGGGGCAAGTGCAAGAATAGTCCAAACATAGTCCAGGGACGATTTTTGAATATTTATCTTTGACCATTTTAGGACAGTTGTTGCATATCGTTGTTCGTCAAAATTCCATGCCCGACCTAATGCTAAGCGTGGTCCGCCCACTCAGCCCGGATCGTGAACCCCCCTAAGGCCAGGGGCATTCGCGCCCACTTACCCATCGGTCGCCGACAGTCGGTATTTTCGGATTCCCATATTCCTATCTACTTTAAGCGCCGTCCTACTTCAATGATGGAGTGGCATCACCTTTTTTCCGTCCCACCCGAGGCAAGGGGGCGGACGGAACCCACTCTCTCAACCCAACGCTTTCCTACTTCATGCTTCTACCTACTCCTTCCGACCGATGGGTACGAGCCAGGTCAGGGCAGGCATGTCCCACACACCTTGGCACCCATCGCCCATCGACAATCGCCCTGTCCCCTCAGCAGCCCCGAGCTGATCCCAGGGGGACCGAGCTGGCGCCCCAGACCCCTGACGTCGTGGTGATCTCGATCTCGACCTCGGCTTCTCATCCTGAGCTGCCTTTTGACGGCCCAAGGCCCGGCGACGGCCCCGAAAATAGCGAACCCTCCCGTCGTGAATGTTGCACGACGCGAGGGGTCTTCGGGGGCAACGGCAGGGGGGGGATGGGCACTGGGGGGGACGCCTCGACCCCGAATCGCCCACTGATCGCCGATACGGGCCCCGTGGCCCCAACCCGCCCAGGAAGGCGCGGCTTCACTCTCGGGGGCCCATCGCCGATGCGTCCCCGATTCCAGGCCGATGCGCCTTCTCCTGCGCCAGCCCCCCCCTCCTCCCGTTGCCCCTCGGGTCTGGTGCCGTCTCGACCTGTCCTCCCCTCGGCAGCGCCGCCCCCCCCTGCGAGGCCGCAGGCGGCGCCCGCGGCGTGGAGGGCGCCGCTGCGCCCGAGGCCCAGGATGGCCAGGCGCCGCGGGCCCCCTGGAGGAGCTCGGGCGAAGAGAACCGTGCGCAGGCGCCGGTCTTGGCCAGGCCCATCCTGGGCCCAGGACTCGGGGGCGGCCAGGGGGGGGGGGATGACTGGGGGGGGCTGGACACCATGGCGGGGGCCATGATGTCTCCCCAGATTTCATGGCGCCTCTTATTGTTTCATTACGTCCCTGGCCCCCCCCCCCATGGGCCGCGCACATGCCGCCGGCCATGCTATGCACCCCCCCCTCTTGTGCGCCCCCCTCTTGGCCGCCCCCGAAGGGTCGGTGCATGCGCCCTCCTGCCCCCAGGAGGGCGCACGCACCCATCCTGGGCCCAGGAGGGCGCATGCGCCGACCCTGGGCTCGGGAAGGGCCTGGCCAGCAACTGTGCTTGCGCGTGGTCCTCACGGGCGCCCTCGAGGGCGCGAAGTGCTTCGCGCTTCGCGGTTCGGCTCCGATTCCTCCTCCTCCTCCTCCTCCTCCTCCTCCTCCTCCTCTTCTCCCCTGGGAGGCGGCGCGAGAGCGCGCAGTTCTTCGCACCGCGCGCTTCGCGCAGCGCGAGAGCGCGAAGGCGGGAGCCATTGTGGCTCTCTTCCCTCTGAGGAGCAGCGAGGACGACCCGGCGCTGCGGCGCCCGCTGGAGCGCCGCAGGAGCGATGCGTCCGGCGAGCAGCAGCGCCCCGCGAGCTCAGGCGTCGACCCCGCCGCGCGCCAGGGCGGGGCCCTCGCGGAGGCCCCGCAGCTCGAGGCCAGCAGTGCCGCCGAGGAGCTGCAGTCGGGGGCGGCCCAGACCCCTTCGCGTCGTGGAGAAATCACGACGGGAGGCTTTTCGCTATTTTCGGCCTCCGGGGGCCCTCGCCAGGCCCCGGGACCGTCAAGAAACGACTGGGGATGAAACACCAGTCCCAGGGAGTGGGTCCAGACCTCTGGGGGCCGACGTCGTGATAAAAAGCACGACGTCGGGGGTCTGGGGTTGCGGGCAGGGGATGCTTTGGATGCTTGTTTTTGTTGGGGGGGGCCTTCTTGGGGCCCACCTGAGGGATCTGTTCGCCTCTAGTTGAACCCAGTTCGACTCAAGCTCGGCTCAAGGTCGGCTCGAGGTCGACTCGGGTTCCACTCGGGTTCGGCTCAAGGTCGGCTCAGATCGACGGAAGTTCGACGCAGCTTCGACGCACGAGTAGAGCGAGTGTCTCCAGGAAGGTCCCCAGAATTAGCAATGTGCATCCATACGCACTGCATCTTGAAGTTTCGGGTCTCTTCCCCAGACTCCGGAGGCGCAGTGGATGTCGACAGCAATTCTCCCCCCCTGAAAGGCTCGATTGTTATGCATATCTACGGCGCCTCGGCCTTTTGGCGTCCCTTCCCAGAAAGTCCCAGACGTAGTGGATATGGTTATACATCTCGCCCGCTGAAGGCGCTCGAGACGGAGCAGGCCAGGGCGGACCCACGCGCCGCGCTGGAGCGGGACCAGCGGCAGATCACGGCCGTAGAGGCCGCGCTGCAGCAGATGTCCGGCGTGTCCATGCAGTGCAGGAGCGAGGGGGACCGCGCCATGATCGGCGGTGAGCGGCCCCATTGGGGCAACGTGTCGGACGTCACCGACTACGCCAGGAGGCACGTCAGCTTCATGCACGGCCTGTGGCGGAGGAAGAGGGGCAACATCCTGGAGGAGCCGGGTGCGGGTAAGGTGCAGATGGAGGATGGGGGGGACGCGGAGGGGCATGGGCAACGGAGGTGAGGGCGGATGGGAAGTGGACGGTTCCCCAAGGTTCCCCAAGCAGTTTAGGGACGTGACACGCTCCCCACGTGGAGTTCTCCGGTTGTGGGCTGCGTAGTGTTTCCCATGCAGCTTAGGGAAACTTGCTTGTCTTCGTGAGTCATTTGGCCTGGTTGTTGTAGGCGCCCGTGGGCACCTCGTGGCCGCCCCGTATACGGTGTGCACCACACGGTTGCTTGCACCACCCAGCTTGCACCGCACATTTTGCTAACATTGCTTACAACACATGGCTTGCACCGCACAGGTGGTACGACGTAGCTTTCACAACACAGCTTGTACCACAATTCTTGCGCGTCGCTGCTCTTCCACCTAGCTTGCACTACATATCTTAAATCGTATAGCTTGCACCGCATTGCTTGCACCGCAGACTTTACGCCACGTAAGTTTAGCCGCGCAATTTAGAGAGAACAAAGCTTACACCACATAGCTTGCACCGCAGGTCTCACACTTCATAGCTTGCACCACATACCTGACACACTCAATGAAGTTCACACCACATACATTCTACCATGTAGCTCACACCCCCAGGGTGCAAGAATCCACTGCGTCGGGTCCACGCTGGCAAACTTCTGGCATTGCAGAAATGTGGGTGATCGCAGCGAGTTTGTACGGCCCTCTGGAAACAAAATGCCTGAACCAATTACTTCAGTGGTAGGGAATACTCCAGCATCGCTCGGACGTGTGCATTTGTTTCCCGGCGAGGACCATCGAGGAGCATCTTGGATCATCGTGGGAATCAGTGAACGCACGACGCCGAACAATGTACGAGCGATGGCAAGATGCGAGGAGATCCCCTGCCGTGACATTCGAGCGATGGCAAGATGCGCACCCCCGCAGTTGCGCCGAGGAGTCGAGAGCGGGCGCGGGGCGCGGCGGGCGCGGGCGGCGAGCCCGTGCCCGCAGTGATGTCCCACAGCGTGCGTGTGCACACGACAGGC